GTTTGATTAGATTTCTTTATATTCCTCTCGTCACTATGATTTTTCTCATAGGCTTCTGAAACTTAATCAAACAAAATTACTTTTTCCATGACATTTTTTCTTTTTATGTATTAATGTTGCGCTCGCTGCGTTTTGAAAAAAAGCGGCTGTCACATAATGCCCTTTGTCATAATGTGCCCCATCTTCTTCTATTCATTCCAACCATATTGAATCGTGACGTTCGTATAAGCGAAAAATATGTCATAAGTGACACATTTTTCTTGCACACATTCCATTTGTAAGTAATGAGAATTTAGATGAAATGATGAGATTGATTTAAAACACATATAAAATGAGAACTATTCTTATCTTCTTGGACAGTCAGTAAATAGTCGTAAAAAGCACGTAAATTGCGTTTACTAATTTTTATTTAATGCGCATGCGTAGCCTATTTTCACTTCATCTTTTTCGACTCTTTACTGGATGGGAAATAAACAGAATCTTCGTCTAGTCTTCTATCTATATTTTTATAAATGTATATATATTTTTATAATTTTTAAAACGATCTCATCATTCTTATTTCCAAATTCTCTTTATTTATAAATGATATGCAAGAAAAGTCAACGTGTCATTTCTCGCTTATGTCACGATTTAATGGCTGACGTGACTACTCATGAGCCTTAACTGTTAAATATTTAATTATGTACTATAGTTTTTCTTGCGAATTTAATTTACTAAAAAGTAAAAAACGGACTGTAAATTGAATATTTTATTCATATATGAAGTTAGTAAAGATTTATGCTGTGAAATTAGCTGTTACTTTGACTTGGATTTAATATGTTGACAAATTCATAACAATGGTCAATCATTGTTTACTCTAGCTTTTAACGTTCATTTTATATATTATTATTTATCATTATATATTACATATGTCGCATATTGCCACGTTCTATATATTTTTTTTAGCATATCTTTGTTAAAGAAGTTATTGTCCACAAACTTTTGTGTGTTTAATTTATATAAGTAGCATCTTA